CTGGTCTTATCTCTGGTCTTATCTCTGGTCTTATCTCTGGTCTTATCTCTGGTCTTATCTCTGGTCTTATCTCTGGTCTTATCTCTGGTCTTATCTCTGGTCTTATCTCTGGTCTTATCTCTGAGGGAACAGCCTTAGTAAAGAATTGTTTAGACATAGCATATACAGCATATACTGTATAGTATACACCATACACTGTATAGTATACAGCATACACTGTATACTATACAGTATACAGAATTATAACAAAGGAATTGAGTCTTTGCAACAAATCCCAATTTTCTAATACCTATATTTCTACAACCAAATTATGTAAACCTTTGATATTTCAAACTTTGATTGTTTGATATAACAGAAGTCATAGTTTGAAATATCTAAGGTCTACAACATTGGGTTGTTAAGATATGTTTATGATATGTTAAGATATGTTTAAAAATCAGAGTTTGCGGCAAAGACTCAATTCCTTTGAAAACTTTGAATGATAATATCTCAATTTTTCATTCAATTCTCTTCAAATGAGTAAGGACGAACTCCTGATGATGCCAAAGTTTTTGGCGAAATATATTGAGAAGAAAATGATATAATTCTACTGGAAAATAGGGTTGGGATTTGTTTCAAAACGATCTACAGTTTTTCAAGAGAAGAAGCAACTTATTTAGGAAAGGGGAGGGGTGAAAATTCGTCATTGCACCCCCCTTTTAGGTAAAAGGGGGTGCACCTGACCCTTTGCACCCCCCCCCCGTACGGTTCTAGGTATATCCATATCCATATATTCATATATTTGAGAGTTAGATCTACAGTTATATCCATATCCATATATATTCATATATTTGCGAGTTAGATCTACAGTTAAATCCATATCCATATCCTGTATTGGAGGGTTAGATCTACACTATACAGTTATATCCATATCCATATATATTCATATATTTGAGAGTTAGGTATACAGTTATATCCATATCCATATCCTGTATTGGACGGTTAGGTCTACACTCTACAGGTATATCCATATCCTATATATCTACAGGGTGAGTCAAAAAAAGTGTGATTAGCGGCGCCTGGTGCAAAATTGTACCTTTTTTGTGCAACTCTCCTGCATGGTGTTATTTCAATATTTTTTGAAAATTTTAATTTGTTTTGGTATTCCACTGGCCCAAAATAAATCCGCAAACCTATTATAGCAAAAATGTGTATATAAATTATTTTAATCGAAATCTAAAATTTTATAAAGATAGAATCACAAAATCACAGAAAATTCGCAAAATTGTAATGAGCTAATATTTAAGAAAAGTTATTTTTGAATGGCTCTTAAGGTTTCCACTGAACAGCTAGCATATATTTACAGCTTTAGAGAATTTAGAGAATTTAAATGACATTTCCTTAAAGATTGAACTGAAAATTGTAAATACATACATGTATATCTATTATCATATATATAAATATCCATATACTGGAGGGTTAGATCCACAGGTATATCCACAATTCATATCCATCCATGTAACACTATAGTTTCAGTAGAAGTAAATATTTCCATTTACTGTTATAGCGCCGATTGAAGGATTTATATTTCTAATTGGATAATGAGATAGATAGAAAGATAGATAATGAGATAGATAGAAAGATAGATGTTACTGCCATACTATTTCTATTGGTTCAGAATAGACAACAAACACATGACTGAACCCTGATTGGATTAGGCGCTAATGGACTCGGCATACAGAAGTGGTAATAAAGATTTTCTGATTTTTAATTATCAAGTGGTTTTGTTTAAGGAAATGCTACGAGGAAGGCCAGTAGATACGGTCATGAAGAAGAAGATCAGAATAATTTTGATTATCATAAACATATAAAGGTGAATAATATCTTCAAAAAATATATTGTTAAGCCTGCACTTGAACCAGGACCTGAAAACTTTAGAATATTGGATATCGAGATCAATGCTAGATCTTCTTTTCTAGTTAATTTCAAGATTAATTTAATCTTAAGTTTATAACTCAAAGGTGTTTATAACTCAACCAATCGAGTGGGGTTGGAGAAACCAGAGCCAGCCAATCAGAGAAGCCGGGAAATTTGAAATTTTGCACCCCATTAAGAACAGAACTCTCATTGGTCGGAAACTGACAGAGAGAGAAAAAGAGAGAAAAAGAGAGAAAAAGAGCGGATTAAGAAGGAAATTAAAAGTGTCCACATTGGATATTCAGATTAAGCGATGGGGATTAAAGGTATCCAATTCTAAAGATTTCAGCGCTGAAATAATAACGAATATTTGGGTAAAACTAAATATAACAATTAACATGAACATGAACATGGACATGAACATGGACAGAAACATGGACATGAACATGGACATGAAAATGGACATGAAAATGGACATGAAAGTGGACATGAAAATGGACATGAACATGGACATGAACATGAACAATGAACATGGACATGAACATGAACATAAACTTTTAAAATTCAGTGATGGTGATGGACCAAACCTCTGAAGAGTAAAAAAGTACATGTTAGTTCCACATTTATTGAAAATATATTTCGGTCTGGGTTGACCCTCGTCAGTTCTAACGATATAGTAACCATCAAAATCGATAAAAAAAATAAAAAAATGTAGAAGTCACAAGAAGATAAACAAACAAAAAGATTATTCAAAATAAAAATTTGGGCTGTCAAATGGACATAAGGGAAAAGAACTCAGATTATGAGATGGAAAAAAGATAATTTGCAAATATTCACTTTCTAAAAAAAATGTTTTAAGACAATTATTATAAACAATGAACATGAACATGAACATGGACATGAACATGAAATTAATAGCTATAAAGAAGCAGTTGAACCATGGAGACTTAGTTTAACCACTTCCTTTTTGCTTCCGGTTCAAGTTGAAGAAAAGTGGTTCAACAAAGTCTAAGTAGTTTAACTACTTCTTGCTATTCTGTAAATCTGGTCCAAGGTTTAATAACTAGCAAGAAGCAGTTGAACTTGGAAGACTAAAATAAACAACTTCTCTCGTGCGACCGGTTCAAATTAAAGAAAAGTGGTTCTACCATATCTTGGTAGTTCAATTACTTCCTACTATTTATTAAATCTTGTCCTTGAACCTGTAAATATTACAGGAGAGAGAGAGAGAGTTGACCCGAACTTTGCTTTATATATTTCTTGGTTTTGTAATCTGCTTTCTACCTTTCTGCATTCTTACAGGAACCAACATAGATAAAGTTAGGATTTTTTTTTTTAAAACTTTGGTTTATTCATTTTATTTATCATTTTTAACATTTAATATTTTAGTTGTAAATTTTGCGTTGAAAGGAGTTGAGTCATTACCACAAACTCTGAATTTTATATCTTTGCAACCAAAAGTCGTTATAGAAGTTTGATATATCAAAGGTTTAAACCATGAGGTTTTAAAGATTTAGGAATTTAAATTTGAGGCAAAGACTCGATTCCTTATAAAGTGGTTACAAGTTACAATATTGCGAAATATTTATTCATTTAACCTTGTGATGATCAAATATTTTTTCCTTTTCCTTTTAATGATCAATTTTATTCATTTCTACCATTTAATGATCAATTGTTTGTCCATCTAACCTTTTTATGATCAAATATTCAATCATTAACCCTTTTGATGATCAAATATATTCAATCATTAACCCTTTTGCTGATGAAATATATAAATGCTGATTATCTTGTGGTTAAAGTTGCGGACCCAATGCCTCCCTCTAAGAATAGTGTTCTTCATCTCCTCTCGTATATTCTAACCTGGACTTCATGCTTTATCAATCCATTCATTTACTGCGTCACAAACAAGGTATACATCTCTAAAATTTAACAATTTTCCATTCTCCACCCCTTCCCCTCGTTCGTGGTTTTGTTGACATCACTCATAAATGTACGACTGAGGCAATTTCCTAATTTCTTTGAGAACAAAAATGTCCGGCAAAACTTTGGAACTTTTCTCTTCGTTTTAGTCTAAAAACATCAAACAAAATATGATTTTCTGAAACCAAATCTGAAGGTTTTAAAGCTAAACGTAAAATATCAAAACGAGTGGACTGATAAAAACTTTGAAACTCATCTTATTTTGTTGCAAAATTTAAATGAAACTCGTAATTGTAAAACAAGAGACCGAATTTAAAGAATTTGAGCCACGGCTTAAATTTAAGCCGCAGCTCAAAATGGTTGATTCCACTTAAAATTATATTGCATTTTTCAAGATTTAAACCGGAGCTCAATTGAAACCGGTTTTTGGCCGATTTAGGCCGCGGCTCAAATTCATTAAATTCGGACACAGAATACATATTTAGATCTTTATTAAAATTTTTAAAAACTTATCTTTAAAACAAGAGTACATGAACGGCACTGCGAAATATAGACAGAAAGAGAAGGTAAAATTCATTCGACATAACTGGTTTGAGTTTGTGATCACGTAGCTCCTTTAGTTTTGATTCTAAGCATTACGTGTAAAAAACAAACAAGTTTTGTCCTTCTCCATAGCTCATCAATAAGTGGAGTTATGTTTCATAACAAATAATATTTCAATCTTAAGTGCAATATACATTTGACGTGGTAGAATAAATCCACAATCCCTCTTTTATTGATTCTATTTCAGTACTATTATGAGGCATATAAGAACATGTTTGTCGATCTACTCCGTCTCTGCTCTGTTCCAGGAAGCCGTGTACAACCTGTTACAAACACTACCGGAGTATCTAACCAAAGCTCTACACTCAAAGAACAGGTTACACCGATCTAATTAATACAAGAATGGTTCCAGACCTTGTACCGGCACGACTTGTACCAGTACTGGTCTGATTTGTAACAGTCCTTATTCGAACTTGAAGTAATAGTCCGACTTGTAGTACTAGTCTGACTTGCATTACTAGTCCGATTTGTAGTACTAGTCCGACTTGTAGCACTAGTCCGACTTGCAGTACTAGTCCGACTTGTAGTACTAGTCTGACTTGCAGTAATAGTCCGACTTGTAGTACTATAGTCCGACTTGTAGTACTAGTCCGACTTGTAGTACTAGTCCGACTTGTAGTACTAGTCCGACTTGTAGTACTAGTCCGACTTGTAGTAATAGTCCGACTTGTAGTACTAGTCCGACTTGTAGTACTATTCCGACTTGTAGTATTGTATATGAATCAAAATCAATAAAGCAATGCACTGAGTTTCTCAAATATTCAACGAGTCGGTTTTTCTTACAATATATTTATATACAAAAGATACAAAAATACAAACTTTAAATCGAACGATACTTATACAAACTAAATATTATGAATCAGATCAGTTTCATCAAATAGGGGAACCGTAGGGTTAAAGATGGGGGGGGGGGGAAAGGGGGCATGATTCCCCTTGGTAGCTATGATCTCAGCGATCCAAAAAATCCTTGAATTGCTGATCGTAAAAGATCAACAAAACTCGCCCACTGTTACAGTAGTACTAGTCCGACTTGTACCAGTACTGGTCTGATTTGTAACAGTCCTTATTCGAACTTGAAGTACTAGCCCGACTTGTAGTACTAGTCCGACTTGTAGTAGTAGTTCGACTTGTACCAGCACTAGTCCGACTTGCACATGTACTAGTCCGACTTGTACATGTACAAGCCAAACTTGTACATGTACAAGTCCGACTTGTACTAGACCTGGTTCGACGCGTACTGGTCCAACTGGTACCTGTACCGGTCTAACGTACCTGTCCGGCCTTAAATGTCATGTAAGAGTCTGACATGTTCCATTACTAGTCCGACTTGAGTCAGTACTGTTCCGACACTACTATGTGCCAGCACAAGTATCGGATAAAAAAAGTTTAAAGAAAAACAAAAATAAGTAAAAATCAGAGCAAAAACATGCTGTTCCGTATAAGAAAACATGCTGTTCCGTATCAGAAAACATCCTGTTCCGTATAAGAAAACATGCTGTTCCGTATAAGAAAAATACAGTTGCATTAGATATTCTTGTAGCGTACACATGTAGATCTTGCCAGCATACATTTGTCGCATAAAGCGTGCTGGGTCGAATTTACACTAGGCATATAGTCGAGACTGGTAGGTACGAGTACCGGTTCGGGTGATGCAACGATTGGAGCCATATGTATGTATTGTGTACAATACAAAAAAATGTGTGAACACTGTTGCACAGTCACATTTTAGCTTAGTTTTGCTCAGTGAAAAGATTAAGTTTTAGGTTTATAGGTTTTATCCGTGTCGAATTAATATATCATTTGTTTAACTTCCTTAATAACCACTGAATGCAGTAGTAGAATGTATAGCCGGCCGTGGTCATTTAAAGGGACTGTAAGGACTGTAAGCGATATTTTTAGTGACAATTATATATCCATGTTTGAATTATATATCCTGGTTTTTGTTTCTTTAAACTGTTTAATTCATTTGTGGTTCCTCTTGCTGCAAAAGTGATTAGCGCATTTCTTTCTTATATAACAATGTAGAAATTCACAGAAATAACACAAAAATTCAAAATTGCTAAAAGGGGGCTCATACATGAAACTACATTTTATAGAACGATATCCATGCTTTACCAACCCACATTGTACAACACGTGGCAGAGATATAGAGAATAATTGTTCCAAATAATTTTCAGAGAAATGGAATATAATTAGATTATTTCTAGAAATAAGAAAGGAATATTAACTGTTTCATCCATTTACCTACGCACTTAGGTTTTTTTAATATAATTATATTTAATTTAGTTCTACTTAAAATCTTTTATATGTAACTGGGTTTCGCTCACTAACATACGACACTCTAATTGGTAGAATTTTAGACACTTCATGCATTGGATATCGAATAAAGATTAAATCTATTTGTAGTTTAACATATAGACCGCGAGATCAAGCATTGAATATGATATCCAAAATATGCAAGAATCGAGTTTTGTCTATTTAAAAACCTTCCTTGATTTGCGAAAGGCCAATTATTTTTTTGATGGTTATTCTTAGTGAAATGATCATTATATAGGAATCATTTTCTAGAAAAAAATGTTGTAGGCCCACAATCGTTTTTGCTTATGACTCTATTAAGGTTACTGTGATCGTTTTGAGAGTCCAGAGGCCGAATTTAATGAATTTGAGCCACGTCTCAAATCCGCCAAAAATCGGTTTCAATTGAGCGTCGACTTAAATCTTGAAACATTGAATACAATTTTAAGTGGAACCAACCATATTCAAGCCCATATTTAAGCCACAGCTCAAATTCTTTAAATTCGGCCTATGGATAGATTTAAAACTGTATACAAAAAATGTGCAAGATAGTTCTTATAAAATGGGTGCAGCTTTGGGTTGTAGGTTCTACAGTGAGAAACAGAAAATTATGGAATAGGAAGACGACATTAAAAGTATATTTTAAAAATTATATTTGATGTTGTTACAAAGCAGATAGCTTTAGTAGTAGCTTAGAAATTAGAAAAAGAAATGATCTGTGCACACTGCACAATTTTTCCGTTTAATTTACAGGGTGTCCCAATAAACATGAGAATTAAGAGACGGTTTGTCGTCTTTGATATCCGATGATTGATAAATGGCATAAAGTGCATCAAAAAAAGATTAAACGTTTTTCCTTTCAATTGCTTTCCAAAATGTGGTCTACCGTCTTTGTATATCTTTAAAATTGACAGAGATATTAAACATTTGAACAGTTTTGAATATGAAAAAATGTTAGACCACATTTTGGAAATCCCGAGACTAGTGGTTTTCGGTGTTGAATGTTTTAATATGTTTAATATTTACGAAAAAATCCCGCATGGAGAAAAGACGATATAGAAGTCGTCATTCAATTCCCATGTTTATTGGGACAACCTATACATGGGACAGTTTAAACTCATACTTTGAGTCTAAAAGTCGTCTTTCTATTCCAGAGTTTGTTAGTTCTCAATGTAGTGCTAGTCTGTGTTTAGGTGCCTTCATTTATATTTAGTATCAATGCGATCTGTGTAAGCACTTTTTTATAAATCTAGACTTATTTTTAATTTTAATTTTATTCTATTATTTCCAAAATTGATTAAAGATTATTAATTAACTTCTAATTTTAGCACAAACGTACTTTAGGTTTATTTAGATTTCTTTTTTCAGAGTTCTAAATGATTATTTATTTTCATACATTTTTTAAATTTTGATTTAAAACTACACCTAAAAATTCACCAAAAAGTAGAGGAACCAACCTGAGGCGTACTCAGGGGGGGGGCTATGGGTGCTTAGTCCCTCTTGGATCAGTAAAATCTATGGTTTCCAGGGATTTTGCAGGCCCCAACGAGTGCAGGTGCTGACCTGGAAAAAAATTAAGCCCCCTGGACAAATTCCCGAGCACATTGCCCACTATAGTGTCATTAGAACTTAAGTAAATATTTCTATTTACTGTTAGCGCCGATTAAAGGATTCATAACTCTGATTGGATAATGATAATGATAGAAAGATAGATGTTACCGCCATACTATTTCTATTGGTTCAGAATAGACAACAAAAACGTGACTGAACCCTGATTGGATCAGGCGCTAATGAACTCAGCATACAGGAGTGTGCCACTAATGTTTGTCTTATAGCTTAAGTTTGTTTAGAGTAATTTGCAACTCTAGCAGGCACATGTTTAAGTGACCCTCCATGCAAAGATGACAATGCACGAATTAAAAATGTCTCCTAAAAACCTTTATCTGATACAAAATGTGGAAGATAACGTCGTTTTTCTGAAACGAATGGTATTTAATTCTGATAATGTCTCCATTGTTTCTTATAAGGAAAAAATGTGCAAGTCACTTTTGCAGAAAACCCATAAATGAAACTAAATAAAATCTAAATCATACTTGATCAGACAAAGCTTTTAAGGGTACCGTTGTAAATCAGACATTGCCTTTTTCGCTTGGAGGGTTACTTTAAATTTATATATTTATGGTAATTTAATAGATATTAATTTCAGGATTTAGTTGAACTGGAGAATTTGTTTAACAGACGACGAAATTCATCAGAAATCATCGAAACAACAAGACTATAGAATAAATTCATAACAGAGAAAAAAGCACTGAGAAGGAGTGTAAACAGGGGGCTAAGGCCCCCCCCCCCCCCGGATAAAAATTAATCAAAGGAATTGAGTCTTTGCCACGAACTGTGGTTTTCTCATCCTCATTTCTTTGTCGTACAACTTAAAAATTTCAAACTATGAATTCTGTAAGATGAATTAATCTAAGTTTAAAATATCAAAGGTTTATGCCATGAAATTGCAGATATATGGATTAGAGAATTTGAGTTGTGGCAAGGACTACGTTCTGGATTTAAAGGCTTGAATTTAAACCTCGAACAAAGTAAATTAAGTAAAACCGGCAAAAATATAATTTCAAATTATACTCAAGGCAAAACTCGAAAAAACCTCTAAAATCCGCAATATTTAGTAAACAATCCAGAATTTGTCAGTCATAGTTGAACTGGCAAGGAAGATGTTAGATTCATCAATTATCTTCCCGGATTCTGAGGCGTTGATCAAGGAAGGCAGCCGAAAAAACGTTCTGAGGGCCTTCAATCAACTCAGAGACTTAATTGGAGATGAGCGTGAGTCCAGACCACCAACTGAACATAAGTTATTACAATTTGTTTGGCATCCTAAAGAGGAGAAAGAATTGGCTTCATCCAGTCTTTGGACAATCTACAGTATGATCAATATTTTAACCTGGAAACACTGCTTTCTGAGATCAAAAATCTTCTGGGATATTATTTCTCATAATGTCCCAGGACAATTATGAGAAATAATATCCCAGAAGATTTTCCAATTACAGGAAAATACACGGGATATTAATTCTCCCAAAATGGAATAAAATCAAAAGTTATCGCGTTAAAGCTTGAAAAGAAAAATTATTATAACCGATTAATAAATAAATACTGTTGTCAATGAGAAAAATTTCAAAAAAATGTTTGATAAAACTTACCATTTTGTGAGGGAATACAATATTATTAATATACATTTTGAATTATTTTTTTCAGTTGGATAAATGAATACATTTAACAAGATTACGACGAACATGTGGTAAATGAATGTGCCCTTTTAGTTTCTAAATACCATTCTCCTAAATTAGTGATTCATATTTTTCATCTGAAGATACATTAATAATGGATTGGAGTACATTCATAGCAACATTTCAGATCTTTATTGTAAAGATGTATGTACATTATGTACTGACAGTACAATGTTTTAAATATATTTTATATAAGAGATATTAAAATTTGTGAATTGCGTACACTGTTGCACGTGTTGAAAATATAAGCTTACAGTGAGAACCATAAAACCGTTGAATACTAAGACGACATTATTACAATACTTTCTTTGTATTTAATGTTGTTATTATATTATTATATTATTAAATAACTAATTAATTTTATGCCCTGGGTGGCAACTTTTTAATCTATGGTGAACATATCCTGAAACCCATATATTCCCATATATAAAATTTTCACTATGTTCTTATGGGTTTAAAAGTAAAATATCACCCCAGCTGAGTACACTTTTCAATATTTCGCGAATTTTTTGCTATGAAATTCCCGCATTCTTTTGAATGATCATCTTCCAGCTTTAATATTTGGGATTTTCTTTAATATGTACTTTTTAAAAGTTTAAACTTTATATTAGATATTATATAATTGACGTGTTTCTCATGTTCTTTCGAAAATTTAAAGTCATAACTTGCGTATAAAAGTCGTCTTTCTATTCCAGATTTTTCTGGTTCTCACTGTACATAGTGGAAATAATGAATGCATCGTAAAATTTAGTCACCTTGCATAAATATGTTATTTTGATTCCAAATATTGACAGTGTTTTATATTGGCAATGTTCTTTATTGCGCTTATAATCAATAACCATATAATATTGTAAATATATCGTAAATATCAAGAGAATATATCAAAAATCATATTTCTTTGTTGAAATAAAAAGTGTTGCATGCAGGATTGACTGTAAAAAAGCCTAATACTCGTTAACCAAATTTCCCATTTATTTTTATAAACTTTCGTATTTTTAGTGAAAGAAATTGAGTCTTTGAAACAAACTTTTAATACGGACTTATAAATAATATTATTAATTATATCTATTAAAAATAAAAATAAAAATTATAAATAATAATAATTAATAATAATTACAAGTTCAGATTGGTTGCGTATTTGCTGAATATGATCTGTTTAAACCTACTGTTTCTATACTAAATTAAGTATATATATGAATTTTCGAATAAATTTGATACAGTTTTATATCAATTTCTCGAGACAGGAACATCAGATATAACTTTCATGGGTCGCGATCAAGAGCTAAAGGGATTAGCACTCAGCCTATACCACTTTCATTTTTCCTTTACAGTCCCTTAAAAAGTCTGTTTGGAATATAATCAGATAAAGAATGTTTGAACATTTTTATTTTAATTCTTATCATTACATTTGATAGACTATATTTTTATCATATCTATATATAAATTTGGCTTGTCTGTTTGTTTGTTTGTTTGTATCCAATAAACGTAAAAACGGCTGAACCGATCGGGCCCAAATTTTTTGTGGGACATCTAGGGACTCCAGGGAAGGTTTATGAATCATCGAAGTTTCAAATATTTGTCTCCATCAAAATTAGATCGTCATTAAATTTTTTAAAATTTTGAAAATCCGCGAATTATTTTTGTTTTGTTTTACGATGTACACAAAGAGAACATGTTCACAATATATTTAGAAGATGGGCGCGAAGCGCCCTCTAAGGCTAGTTTATTATTTTTTCTAATACTAAATGTTTTTAATTTACTTAATGAATTAATGAAAAGTGTTATTAAAGTATTTACATAAACTGCTTTAACATTAAAATGCAAATATAAGTGTCTTTAATGGCTAAACTATGTAATACATATATCTTACAATTAATTAAAAAGAACTTAACTAGCTATGTATAAAGTGCAATTTTGATTACATCTGTTTCAATATATTTAAGCTTTTTGCATCAAAATACAATTTAAAAACTAGTAAAAAAGTTGGGCTTTTAACGCAAGAACGGTTAATAACTTGAAAAGTGAAAACTTGGAAATCTGGTTTATAAACATCTTAGATTTTGTTTAATCCATTTAACTTCAAAATTCACGAAAACATGTATTCTAATCAAGATCATGCTCCATACTGGCGGATTTACTGATCCATATTTTTGGAAGATTTATATGATCCTTCTCAATATTTTCAATTTTACTTCCATCTTTATCCATGGATTCATGCCGTCCTGTTTCCTCATTCTCCTCTGTAGGTTTAAGAGATCTTTTTTCTCCTTCCTCCTGATCTCCGGAGCTGTTTCTTTCTGTCGCATGATCTTCGTACCCACTTCGTCCCGTCTCCTGATCTTCGGAGCTGATTTTTCCCGTTCCTTGATCTTCGATGTCGACCCGTCCTGTCTCCTCCTCTCCGATAAAGCTTCCTCCCTGGATTGTTTCGCCGTCCTCCCTCGGAGTGAGTATATCTGATATATCAGAAATGTCTGAAACCTGATGGTTTAGAACGAATACAGAGCTATCAGGATCCAGATCACCAAAATTATTGATCAGGCTTCCCTAAATCAAAAACATATTTCCCTTGAGAATTAAAAACTGAAAAGGAAATCTAAAAAGACGAAGAAAAGAAACCCTTTTAGAATGTAACAGCGATTGAAAAGTATTTAGCAGAGAAAAACAAGGATAATTAGCTAATATACAGTGGTAGGCGATTATATCAATACAATGAAGACGACTTAAATTTTTTTTATCGTCAACAAGCTTTTTCGAGTTACAAGTTTACAAGTGATCAAATAGAAGCTATTTAAATTGACAGTTTCTATTGATTTATGTTTATAAGTTCATGCTGTTTAACAGCTTGATATGAAAGAAAATTGAATTAAAAGATCGTCTTTATTGTATGAATATAGTCGCATACCACTGTGTCAAAGTTCTGCCGACTCAATTTTAAATGACCATTTATCATTTTGCCTGAGCAAAAATGAATGAGATATCTCTTTTATTTCTCTCTAAAAATAGATAATCTTAAATTGTGGTTTCTCTATAGAAGTGGGATTTACGCAGCAGAGACAACGAAGTAAATTGACTTTGAAAATGGTTCATTGTCAGTTTTGCATTAAACCTGTGACAGTCCCTTTAAAAGAAAAAAATAATAAACACACCGCATTAGCTCCATCCTCTGTTGGAGATATTCTCGGAGTTGTTGAGTTGTTTAAACTATCCTGGATATCATTCTCATATACAGAGAATATAGAGGGACGCTCTAGTTTCAAGATCTACAGTATTATTATTATTATTATTATTATTATTATTATTATTATTATTATCAAGACCTTTTCATGGATTGCTCTTGTGACTTGATCTTGTTGATCTTGAGTTCTACTGATATCGTGAACCTGGTGGTTGGTTGATCCTGTTTTCTTCTTTATTCTAGCATATAGTCCCAGGATACCTAGAGAATACAGAGAATATAAAGCATAAATAAATAAATAAATAGCATAAAGTCCCAGGATACTTGGAGAATACAGAGGATATAGTTTAATCTAGCATATAGTCCCAGGATACCTGGAGAATACAGAGGATATAGTTAATTCTATCATATAGTCCCAGGATACTTGGAGAATACAGAGGATATAGTTTATTCTAGTATATAGTCCCAGGATACCTGGAGAATACAGAGGATATTAAACGTTTTTCCTT